AGCAGGGTTGGGCTGGGCCACGGCTGAACTCATCTGACATGTAGTCGCCTAAAAAAGATAGCTTACTATTTCAAAACTTCATATTCCAACTAGTTAACCTTGCTGAGTAGGTGTTAAATTCAGTTACTTCTACTTTTTGAAAGGGTACAAGGCTGATAGCACTGTCTAGATTGCAGCAGCCAGGGGCATAGCCCCATTCACTCCACCCTAGTTATGGCTCTGACAGGTAAGAAAAAATATTTTCCATATCTTGAAAAGATTTTTTGCCTTTATATGATTCCCTCTACCTCTTGGTATGTGAACATGGCCTCTGATCACAAGCTTTGTTCATTCTTATTCTTCCAATAAAACTATATCCATAGTACAACTATACTCTAGTTTATTAGGGCGTCACTACTGAATTTCCTTTGGGTATTACTACAAGGCAGTTTTGTAGGTCAAAGAATAGGCAAGCAAAGTCAATCAATCATTCTCTTTCTTTAAGAACTTAAGCAGTTTGCCAATATCTTAAGTACCAGAACACCCTTGATGAATATTAAGTGCCAAGGCTCTGGGAAAGAATGCAGCCTAGGTCAAAAATCCATGGGACATGGTGTTCAAAGGTAGTGGGAATCATTTTCAGCTGGCAAGGTCAAGCATTCTCACATGCAAATGAATGGAAGTGTCTGCCCAAATTGCCTAACAAAATATTGTTTTACCAGTGGTCCATCCATCAATAAGCATTGATTAATTTCTTTGTGCCCAACATTGTCCTAAGTGGCAGGGATACAAACAAAAACAATAACATGATCCTTGCATTTAAGTAGGTTAAATTCTCATTAGATAAATATTTATGTAGAAGATATATACAGGTTAGATGGAAGGTAATCTTAGAGGGAAATAAATGGGGAGGGGGGAATCTGGGGAGAGATAATACAATTATTGTATCTTGTACAATTAATTTTGTAAATAACTCATGTAAAAATCAAGAACAAAGAGTAGGAAGATATCATAAGATTAATAGGAATGAAATTAAAGGGCAGATTGACTTCAGCAGTGAATATTGACTCTGGTGGCTGAACCATGTCCAGAGGCAACCCACAAAAGGTTATAATGTGTGTTCCTTCCTCATCTGCTCCACTCTTCCATTTTTTTTTTAGTCTACCCTTGTGATTTCATCAGTGTAGGGAACCTATTCCTTGGTGTGAAAATACTCTCTACTACGTATAGTGAAAAACCATCTATAATTTACATTAACAGAGAATGGTCTACTGGCACTGAAAAATCAAGGGATTTACAAGTGTTCAAATGCTAAAATCTGCCAGAGATAGAACCCGAGTTCAGGTCTTCCTGACACTAAGACTCAGAATATACTGCCCCTCTCTATTTCTTAAATAGGCAAAATCCAGTTATTTCGAACATTCTAGGCAGCATTGAAGTAGAAAACAAAGGTGAAACAAAGTCTCCTCAAGAAAACATACAGCCTGAGGGAATGAGTAAAAGGAGGAGGTTTTGCCTTGGGGATATTTGCAAGGTGTAGTTTATTAAGGGCTGTGGATGACTGCTAGAACTTCATTTCCTATTTAGACAGTGAAGACACTGCCTTCTCCCAGGGCTGGCTTGCCGAGGCCTTGCTCACCCTTAGTACTCTGGGTACTCCCAAAGTGCATGGCTCATGTACCTAATGTGCATTAAAAATAACAACATTTATAAAAACTCAATCAACAAACCTTTATGAAACCCGCCCTTTTTTTTCTAGGCTAAAAATCTCCAGTGTGTACAAATATACCTCATTTGTCTCATTTTCCAGGAACCTCCCTAACTCTTCCTCTAGATGAAATCTAGTTTGTTCCCATACTCTAACCAGAGTAGATAAGAAAATGATTCACTCATTCATTGAGGTCTTCTCATTTTTTTTCCTATTCTTTATATTTGTCATTTCTTATACTATCATCCATTAATCTGGGTATGATCTTTCTAAAATCGTTCTAAGTGCTGAGTATACAAAATCGAAAGTGAATCAGCTTCTGTACTGAAGGAGCTTACATTCTATTGGTGGAGACAGCATATGTCCTTGTACATTGAGGAGGTCAAGGGCACACTGCACCCCCTCCCCAATGTCCCCACCCTGCAATCTGGAAAATCCCCGTAAAATGTTTTGGCCCTCCCTTCATACCAGAGAAGAAGTCTGAATTTTTTCTTTTGCTTTTATGGGGTGTTGACAGTACCTTATTGTAAAATTTGGGTTAAGTTTTTAGTCATAGGACACATGTAGGTCAATGTCAGGTAAAAATACTGTATGAAAAAGAACTTCTCCTGTGTCGTCTGCTGGCCTTTGCATGTCATCTGTGGATTCCACAAAACTCCTCCAAAATTCCCATTTAATTTATGCTGATCAGTGACATATCAAAACCACAATGGGGAAAGTCTTGATGTGGAAAGGATAAGTGTATCTATGTTTAGAAAAGTCAAGGTCATCCACTGCATCCTGGGCCATCACCAGGATGTCTAGTCTTGTCTTGCCATTGGACTTTGATGACTCTGGAGGAGAGAGTGAGGTTGATAATGTTGTGGGGCTCTGCATCACTTAAGGACAGGTAGGTGGCACAGTAGATAGAGTGCCAGGTCCAGAGTCAGGAAGACCTGAGTTCAAATCTGGTCTCAGAAACTTACTAGCTGTGTGACTCTATGTAAGTCACTTGACCATCTTTGCCTCAGTTTCCTCATGTGTAAAATGAGCTCGAGAAGGAAATGGTAAACCACTACAGTGTCTGCCAAGAAAACCCTAAATGGGGTCACGAAGAGTCAGACATGACTAAAATGACTAAACAATTATGAGCCTCACTTAAATACAATTCATTAGAAAGTCAAGATATCATCCTCAGTGATGCCATTGGTCCTCTTTGAGAATGATGGACAAACAACAACAAAAAAAAATACTAAAACACTACATCAATTTCAGTTATTATGAGTGCTGACTACAGTCCTGATGAGTAGATAGTAGAGCTACTAAACACTGCCCTTTGACAGTTATTTTCTATCTTCTTTGTATATATCTGGTAGGTGCTTATTTATTTACATATTATCTCTGCCATTAGAATGCAAGCTTCCTGAGGGCAGAGACCGATTTTGCTTTTTATTTGTATCCATACCACTTAGCACAGTATCTGGCATATAGTAAGTAAGCCATTAATTTTTTTTTAATTTAAAGGTTTTTAAATGACTATCAAATAGGATCATCCTTGTTGCTTTTTGTCTTTGTTCTTGTAATTGACACTTGGGGAGGTTAAGTTACTTGCTAAATGTATTATAATTAGTAAGTAGAGGAGCTGGCCTGACAGCCCTGGTCCTTGCACTCCAAATCCAAAGCTCTTTCCATGGCACTTCAGGAGTCCTGACTGTGCATTAACCTGGGAGTAATTCTGCCTGCAGAGATGCGACTGACTTAAGGGTGGGGAGACAAGTTGTAAAGGATGAAAGAGTAAGGCAAGAAATTCTGCCTTCTACTTTGGATATTCCAGTGGGATGAGCAGACTATGGTGAGAATTTCTGGTTTTTAATGATCTTATAAAATATCAACAGAAAATTACACATAAAGCCTTATCATTCCATAGAAATGGGGATGGAGAGTTGTCTGGAGAGTTGAATTGAGAAATCGTCAGGAGACTTATGATTAGATCCCTGTCATTTATGTTTATTGAGCACCTTTTAGTTGATCTTTCTAGGCACCAATAAAGGTAAATTAAATAGACATAGCTCATACCTTGGGGGAACCTACATGAAGTGGGGAGCAGCAAAACTGTGACATGATCAGACAAAAAGTATAGAACTTGACAAAGGCAAAAGGAGAACATAAAATGTGTGTGTGTGTGTGTACACATATGCTAATGTGAGATTTCTCACCTCTTTGTAACTCATTTAGTCCTTTGTAAGAAACACAGAGAAATTCAGAAAATTTCTAATGGATTCTAGGTGGATTGGACTCATAAATCTAAGACCTTGAAAGGATCTAAAAAGTCATATAGTTCAGTCCCTTATTTTACAGAGATCCTTGAAGGATACTTATTAACAGAAACAAGAAGTATTTCCTCCTTTAACTTTCTGGTTCACAGATCTAAGGTCAGATCCTTAAAACTTAAAGAGGGAATTGAATTCCTTCATGGATTCATTTGTGAATGGAAGAATTTCACTCCATCCTCAATTCTTTTCCTGTCCTGGGGAGAGGAAAAACTACAAGGATGAAGTTTTTTAAACAAAGTAATAAAATACAAAAGTGATTAGCTTTTAAATGCTAATCACAAAAGTGATGCCACCATGAGGCTAATTTAATACTGCACCTTGACCTTTGCAATGAATACCAACAGTATTTTGACGGCTTCTTCCTTCACCAAATCCTCTAAAACTTGGCACAAGTTCAAGAAAATAAAAATTTTCATCTACACAAAAGTCATGCCTTTAAGTCATCTATTTTTTTTAAATACCAGCTATTCCCCAGTTTTATGCACTCATACTTATACTTTGATAAATAATAATGGCTGTTTATACAGGACTTTAACTTTTGTAAAGCAATTCACATCATTTCATCTGAGCCTCACAACAACCCTTTGACGTAGGCACTATCATCTCCATTGTACATATGAGGAAACTGAGTTACAGAGGGATTTCGTGACTTACCCAAGGTCATAAAGATAGTAGGTATCTGAGGCAGGTTTCAAATAAGGTCTTCTGGCCTGCACATCAAGCACTCTATCCATTATACCATTCTCTCAAACCAGTAATCCAGCAATCAGAAAGTCAGTTGCAAGTTGTCTTGGTGGTGGGATAGTCAAACTGGTTGAGTCACAGAGGTTTCACTAGCCCTTCCTCTTCCTAGGCACCAGCAGGCTTTACCAGCTATAATAACACACCTTTTTATGACCCCCAACATTTCACAGGTACCTGGCTGCAAGTAGCCAGTAGGTACTGAGAGTACCTGTGAGTAGAGTTCTTTCCACCCAGCTAAGGCTTCTCAGAAATCAAACCCCTTTCTAGAATGACCAAAGGAGATTGAAGTTTATCAGAGGCCCCACAGATAGCTAGAATCAATGGGTCACTAGGGCTGACTGATAGGACACAGATAAGTGAGTAGAAGAGATATAGGTTTATAAATGCCATGGGATAATAGGTTCATAGATTTAGAGCTGGAAAGGATCTTTGAAATCATTTATTCCTTTATTTGACAGATGAAGAAACTGAGGCCCATACAGGTTGAGTAACTTGCTGAAGGTTCACATATTCAGTAAGTCAAAAAATATTTATTAAGCACTTACTGTGATATGTGCTTGAAATGCAAAGAAAGCTAATAGACAATCCCCAGCTTCAAGGGGCTCATAGTTGAGTGGGAAAAATAACATGCTATGATGACAATGGGAGACATGACATATTTAATATGCTATATTTGAACTATACATAAACAAACTACATACTGGATAAATTGGGTATAATAAACAGAGGGAAGGCACTAGTATTAAGGGAGGAATGGGCAAAGGCTTCCTGTGTCAGCCAAGATCGAATCAATCATATAAAAGATGAAAGTTGCCCTTTTGAAATTGATTGAAACTCTTCACTGTGCATGAAACACATCTGTTGTCTTAAAAAGACAACGATTAAGCCAATTACATTATTTTTTGGTCATTTTTGTCTCTGTATCTCCAGTACCCCTTTTGGCACTAGAGAAAAACTTAAAAAAAACCCAACACATTTGGGACAAACCCTACCAAAGGTACCTTCACAACTCATTAAGACAAATATAGTTGTTCCTGTGGAGGGATTCCCTGGGATCACAAGGTGTAATGGAAAATGTGATCCTGAGATGCAGCAAGACTGGAGGTGAGGAGGAACTTATCTGAGGTAGGACCAATATGGGAAATGGGCCAGCTGGGAATTTCTCTTTGTATTTTATAATTCTTGTTAATTAGGTTGCTAAGCTAATTTATTTCTATGTTACTGAAAAAAGTTTGTCTTCTCTATCGTATTTTTTTTTTGCAGATAGTGGACAGTGGGTATTGAGCATTGTATATGTTATCTGATTCAGTTGATCATAAGATCCATATATCTAGAACTCAGAAGGCATCTATCTACTCAAGCCCTCTCATCTTGCAGATGAGGAAACTGAGGCCCAAAGTTCAGATGGTCATTGAATGGTATAAGAAAGTTAAGGAACTTGTCCAAAGTTACAGTGTACATGTTTATATAGGGAATTCTTACTTCTTGAAACACTTTGCCACTTCTTCCTTCCTTCAGTGTGCCAAGTGCATGCAAGACAAGGTAAATGTTAAATCATAGACCATTAGAGGGCCTTAGAGCATTGAATCACAGAAACACAGAATATCAGTGTTGGAAGGGACTTCAGAGATCACCTACTTCAACTAATAAACATCAAAAGAATGATTTAGATTTAGGTCCTTTTACTCCAGAGCTAGTGTTCCTTCCATTAAGTCATTGCTGAATTTCTTTTCTTTCTCTTTTTTATTATTTGCTAGGGAAAGGAGAGCAGTGACCCAGCTGTTTAGAAAAATGAAAAGAAAATTTTAGGATTTTTTTTTAAAGAAAAAATTGAAAGGGATATCTGATGAATTCTGGTGCCCTGGTATAGAGCTCTGGTCACCCTACCCTTGTGGCTTTTCCAAGACTAGCACAGTGCCTTGCACAATGTAGGCATTTAATAAATACTTACGAATTAGGGATTAGAATTTCAGGGGAAAATCTGGTTTGATTTAGCTAATCAGCACCAAGGTGACAATAAGGGTAAATCTAATGGCATACCTTGGATTGGCTTATTAAGAAAGTCTTAAATTGATCCATTAGCAGATTTTCTTACCTTCTCTACCAACATATTTCCAGTTGATGTGGTTCAAGTCGCAGCTACCCATTCAAACACCTCCATGCTCGGCCTTTGGCCAGAGGCCAGCAGTCGACCTGGCTTTAGCATGGGATTTCAAAAACCTCTTGCTGTACAGTCACTGCTTTTATTTGATATGTTTATAATATGTTTCAGCTGTGCTGGGTATGAGCCAGCTGAGGATGAGGTCTCTGCTTCCTCATTTTTTCACTTGCAGCTTCTAAGAAGGTAGTATAGGTGAGAGGATCTCACAGAAAAAGCCCATGCTTGGTGTCTCACCCCTGGAGGAAGGCCTGGTCATGAAGGACTAAAATTTCCTTCTACAGTCAATCCAGAAAGGCTACTCAAAAGTGTTATTTTAAAATAGCTTACTCACATCAATCAATAAGCATTAAATGTTTTCTATATGTCAGGTAATGAGTATACACACATAAGACAGTCCCTTCCATCAGGCAATCAGAATTTTCCTATGTCCTTTGGATCTACTTACCAATGTCATCTTCACTGCCTTTCCTTCCAGACATCTCAACCCTGACTTCTCCCTACTTCAACTAGTTCAGAAAACGTCAACTCTTGTTTTTCTCATATAGATTTCCATGAAAATAAAAAAAAGAGATAATTTATCTTTCTAGAAAAATTCAGTGACTTTTTGGACAAATGTTTATTGATTTTTCCCCCCTTGTTGGCTATGCCCTTGACTCTACACACTTTGCCACTATTCCTCTGATAGAAGGTCTTCTCTCTTTCTCCCTCTCCCCCACCACTTAGACATAAAGGAGTGGTTAGCCATTTCTTTCTCTAGCTTATTTTATAGATGAGGAAACTGAGGCAACCAGGGTTAAGTGACTTTTCCAGGGTCACACAGCTAATAAATGTCTGAGGTCACATTTGAACTCAGTGCTGTATCCACTGTGCCACCTAGCTTCCCCTAGATATGAAGGACAGTCAATGAAATTTCATGAATGAGGAGATGGAGTGTCTTGTGTGAGGAAAAGCAAGGAGGCCAGTGTTGCTGGATTATGGAGTACCTGAAGGGTAAGGGTGGTAAGGGATAAGATGAGTGGAAAGTGAGGAAAGGGTTAGGTTATGAGGGGCTTTTATAAACCAAATGGGGGATTTTATATTTAACTCCAGAGGTAATAGGGAGTGACTAGAGTTTATTGAGTAGGGGTGAGGGGTGACATAGTCAGGTCTGAACTGACTATAATCAGGAAGATTACTTTGAAAGCTGAGCGGAGAATAGAGCAGAGTGGGGAGAGACTTGGGGCAGGCCAACCGACTAGCAGTTGCTATTGCAATAACGTAGGTATGTGGAGATGAGTGTCTGTACCAGTGGGGCTGGTGGCATCAGAAGACTCTTCCAGGTCCCTTGATTCCAAATCTAGCATTCTTTCATCTGTACCAAATTTCTTTCACAAACAAAGTTATATATGGGTTCTGATCTCCTATACTCCCAGTTGAACAACATGGGTCATTAATCTTGGTCTCACTAACTAAGCGATATGGCCTTGCTGCCCCAATGTGACATTACTGAGAGATTGGAATCACAACGGGTCATTGCCTGGTGTTTAGTTATTTCAGGGAAACTTGACTTTATCCTTTGTAAACTCTCTTTCTCTAGGTTAATGGACAAGAGAGATGTGTCACTTACAACCTGCATGGCATCAGACAAGTCACCCTCTTTGAATCTCAGTTATCTCATCTGTCCAATGAAGGGCCTGCGGTAAATGGCTTTGGAGGTCCCTTCCAGCTTTAAAGTTATGATTCTTTGATTAAATTGGAGGAGGAAAAACGAACAAATCAGTGAATTATAGACCTAGAGCACTCTTTGTACAGTCCCTAGTCAATCCAGTTTGACACAAGAATTGAAGAATTCCATAAACACAGATTTGACCATGCCACTCTCCTACTCAGTAAATTCCAGTGTTCCCCTGTTCTCTCTGGATTCAAACAGAAACATCTCTATTTAGCTCTGGAAGCCCTTTAGAACTCTATCCCAACCTATCTTTCCAGCTTCATTGCATATTTCTTTCCTTCCCCTACACGGCTATCCAACCCAATTGGCCTCTCCTTTCCTCTGTGTGTTTGTACATCCATCCTCAACCCCTACCTTGAATGCAGTCTGCCCTCACCTCATAAAATCCCTGTTTTTACCTCAAGATGCAGGTCAAGCAACATCTTCTACATGAAGCTTTTCCTATCCCACCTGCCCCAACTGCTAATGCCCTCCCTCCCAAAGGCATTGATCTACGTTGCATTTATTTTCTTTATGTTTATTTTATACTTAAAATATGCCCTTGTTGTTTCCCTCATTAGAAGATGAGATTCTTTGGATTAGGATTTGTTTCACTTACTGTATTTACGTCCCCTGAGTCATAGTGTCTGGCACATAGTAGGTACTTAATAAATGCCTAGGTAAGCTAGGTGGCATAGCGGAGAGATTCCTTGACTCGGAAACAGGAAGACCTAAGTTAAAATCCTCCCTTAGGTATTTAAAAGCTGTGTGAACCTTGGTAAGTCACTCAACCTCTCAGCCTCAGTTTCCTCATTTGTAAAATGGGGATAATAAAAGCACCCATTTCATAAGGTTGTTGTGAGGATCAAACAATATAATATATGTGAAAGTCACTCGCAAATCATAAAGCATCATAAAATTGCTATTATTTTAAAATTTGTTAATTAAGAATTTATTATTGTTAAATACTTGTTGATTTAGCATCTACTCTATGCGAGGCACGAGGCACTTTCAAGGGTAGTGGATGACAAACTTTCTCTTTTTTATGGAAGGTAGAGATAGTGTCTGATGAGTCCCATAGCCCTAATGCCAGTCTTGAAAACAGTTCTGTTAGGCCATGCCTCCTCTTGCTTATGTTACTGCCCTTGGGGTTGTCAGCTGAGTAGAGAACCTTGCACCTGTGCCAGACACAGCTGAGGTCAGGTCAGGAACAAAGCTGAGGAGGAAATATGGATAGCCTCTTGTAGTGCACACCTTATTCTACAAAGGCAAGCCACAATGAGTGCCCAGGTCTTTCATTAAGCTGACTGAATGGAGCTATCACTTCTTGAAATAACCACTCATTACCTGTGTGGATACCTACTGGATGGGCTGATGAAAGAGGCAGCTTAGTTCTCAGGCTCTCATTCTATGTGGTGGGGGAGGAGAGAGAAAAGAGGGAGGACCTTGGGCAGATCACTTAGCCACTGGGAAAGGAAGATGGATGACCTTAACACAGGCCAGGACTGGATGAATGCAGTGGTGAACTGTATTGGGTAGAGCTGAGTCAGGGTTCCAAGAAGAGGAATACGAACAACAGAGGAGCTCTGAACAACTACTTAAAGGGGCACAGTCTTACCATGGACAGTTTCATTCTTAACTAAATCATGATCTGCTCTCTAGGGAGAGTGATCTATCACACTATGTCAGCCCTAAAGGACAAGATGACTAGTGAGGGAAAGAGGTCAACATATGATATCTTGGTCTTTGGAACTGCTTTACCAAGTTAATGATCCTGTTATTGTTGGTTTAGAATATGAAAGGCAATGTGGCATCGCAGAAGAGAGCTGGCCTTGAAGCCGGAAAGACCTGGGTTCAAGTCAAGCTGCTGTCACAATGGCTGTGTGACTCAGGGCATTACTTAACCTCTCTGGGCTCTAGACAGGTCTCTTAAGTTGCAGAGAAGGTGTTGACTCACCTTGCTATGGAGAGTTTCTTTTATCCATGAGCTCTCAATATCAGGGAGATCACACATCTAGTCCTATCCCTATCTGAATGCAAAGCACAGGAGCACACGCATGTTTCTGGTTTTTAATTTTTTTCTTTTATTTTTTTCCAAATATCTTTAAAATTCTTCACAAACTACCTCCAACTTTTCTTTCCAGATTGGTTTCACATTGCTCTCCTTTATTCACCTTATGACCCAGACAAACTCGTTATTTGCTGTTCCAACCTTAATGTCTCTGTCCTTTCATATAGGTTGTCCCCCGTGACTGGAGTACACTTCCTCCTCAATATTGTCCTATGTTCCTTCAAGGCTAAGCTCAAATGCCACCACCTACAGGACATCTTTTCTGGTTCTCCCAAATGTTAGTGCCTTCCTTTCCAAAATTACTTTGTATTTCCTTATATGTGTATTTCCCCAAGTAGAACACAAGCCTTTTGAGGGCAGGAATTGTTTCATTTTTGCCTTTGTATCCTCAACACCTAGAACAGTGCTTGGCACCTAGAAGGTGCTTAACAAGTGCTTTTTGAATGAAAGAATGTATTTTTTTTGGTGTGTATTAGACTTTAGATGCCCAACCCTAACATTTTATAAATGAGAATGAGGGCCTGAGAATGACTTGCTCATAGTAACAGCTACTTAGTGGCACAGCAGTATTAGAACTAGGGGATTCTATGTACCTGTCCACAAAATGACTATTTCCAACAAACAATTTGGAAGGATATATAGAGTAAGATCTTAAAAATATTAGTGTGGTCCAGGAAAGACAATGTCCTGAAGCAGAGGCCAGAAGAGCAGTACACTCTATTCCTTCTCTAATTTTGGAAGGAGCATTAACAGTGTTGTGTTTCACTGATAATGCTAGTAGCCAACTCATTTTCTCTAATGTTTAAATTTTAAAAAGGGGGAAACTCTAGGGATGCAAAATAGAACATTTCCTCCTCTCACAATGTGCACAGTGGTCATATGAGCCTGGCATAAGGTTTCTGAGGAGTTCTGGAATTTAATTGTTATTCTTGAATCTGGCAAAACTTACTGAACCAAGGAGAACCAAAAAGAACTGGAGGTCCAAAAGGATTCTGACAGGCCAGAATAATGGGCTAAAATTTTTTTCTTTTTGGTTTGGCAATGGGGTTAAGTGACTTGCCTAGAGTCACACAGCTAGTAAGTGTTAGGTGTCTGAGGCTGCATTTGAACTCAGGTCCTCCTGAATCCAGGACCAGTGCTCTATCCATTGCACCACCTAGCTGTTCCCAGGTTAAATTTTTAAAAGATGAAATTTACTAGAGCTAAACATAAAATTCTGCCTTTGGATTAAAAATCAATTTGACAAAGTTCATGTTTAAAAAAAAATACCTTGGAGGTTTTAAGGGAGTCATTGAGTCAACAATGCAGCAACAGACCATTCCCCCACCAGACCACTGCGTAATTATAATACATTTTATTTCTGTGTCAAACTTAACATGCTGAAGGTTTGAAGTACTTGGAGAGTGTTAGATTCTAAGTTCTTAGAAGTCAAATCTTAGCAACAGCAAGCTAGAGAACATTAGGTATTTTACTCAAACCATAGATTGATAGCAAACTGGAGTAACATCTTTATGGGGTACCAATAGTGCTCTGTAATGTAAAGCTTTTTTTTTTT